AGCCAGAGGTTTGTTGGTGATTTACCCTATTTACAGAGGGAGGAGGTTAAAGAGTCGACGACCTCTGACACTGAACGTTTTCTCTTAGTGTACCCGTCGCGACCATGGTTTTTATTGAATATTCTTTACACTGTATGCGAAGTCTTTTGCTTTCACACGGAATGATTCCTGGAGGGACCAGTCTCTCCAGGATTTTCTAGGTGTAAATTATGATGTACATTTCTCACCTACGTTCCAAGAAATACTGTTGAAAGGACATCAATCATTTTGAGTGAATATGGACAGCGAAAGTTCTCTGTACGTTTTCTAGCTCAGCGGTGCCGCCTGCGGGTTCAAATCCCGCCCGTGGTATGGTTTGAAGGAACCTGCTAACATACAGCTGTATTCCAGTCTGGAGAGAATAAATGACTAAAATAATCATCTTTCTTGCAGTAGCAGTTGCAACACTGATGTCATGACTTAATGCGAGATCTTCTGACATCACTCCAAGTCTCGCACGTGGAGCTTCCACTATCTGGGAGAGAATTTACAATAAATCTAATGGAAAAAGGGCGCCATAGAAAACGAAAAACCACTCTCAATACTGCTGGTCCAAGACTATTCAACTTATCATCAGATAATATCAGAAATATTGCCCGAACGAAGAGAAAATTTAAAGATAAAACTGGACCACTATCTCCTGTAAGTGCCTGATTAGCCGGGATGTAGTGGTTATGTGGGCCAGCCAGACCCGAGGTCGGACTGCGAGGTTACAAGAACCAACGAAACCGATCACAGGTATGTCACAGGCATGAGCTCCTTACCAAGGATGATACAAGAAAAAAAGAGTGCGTGGATGGAAATTAGCAACGAGAATATCAGTGTTACACGCAAACCCACACCTCAACTCGCTCTCCAACACACACCCTCATGTACTCTCCTACATTTACTCACTCACACACACACACACACACACACACACACACACACACACACACACACACACACACACACACACACACACACACACACCTACAAAAGCAGGTTGACCCTGAAGGTATCTTGACTAACTCGAAACTGCCCGATTGGAGTGGCACTCGAGACCCGAGACCCGACTAACAAGCGCCATTTGATGCACCTGGGACCAGCTGAGCCCCAGACTGTTGACAACTTTGTCTAGTGGCAAGATAATTAGGGTTAAAAAAAACACGTAAGAAGATCACCATTAAACGAGTCAGTTTATAGTAATGATTAGAGCAAAAGATAGCCTAAAAAATACGGAAAAAATACGCACTTTACCACTTAGCATCTACCATATTCGTTGTTCAGCTGTTCATTTGCTGAACATCTGTAATAAACGGGTGTAAAAACTCAAATAAATCATCAGGATTCGAACCCGTGTTCTTGATGTTGTGTACGAATGGACAGAAGAAACAAAAGTTCTGCAGTTTCAACAGTGTGCATCCTTTTTTTTTTTTTTAACTCCGAAGGTAAGAAATGAACAAGTCCACGGTACGGATGAGGTTTGAACCCATGGCGAGTGGGTCCAGGAGCTATAAATCGACCCCTTCAAATTTAACTAGGCGAGTGTATAGGCGAAACCCTGAACTAGACGAACATGAAGGGCCAAAAGAGAAAGTATTCCAGTGAATTAGGTAGTTACTACCTGAATGGTAGACAGAATTAACAACAAAGGATGAAACATCAGATTGGTCGCGGTCAAAACAACTGCAAAGAGGAACTTCACTGACACGTTTCGCCTGCGGTCAGGCTTTTTCAAATTCAGTAAAGTTTGTCTCTGCATTAGTGTCTTAACACACTTGGCTTCGAGCCATTCGTCTCTGGGAAGGTTGCTGGTGACAAGCGAGGTCACACAACCATCACTTCTAGGACCGCTTCTTTGTCTAGTAAACATCCCATTTCATGAACTAATTAGGGGGAAAACGGGTGGTTGATCATGACACTTGTGATGGATCATGATGAGGTTGTTTTGCCATGATCATAACAATAGCAATTCTGTAACCAACGGACTTTGGGCTTTTATTGTTTATGAATGAAAATTACCTACAAGATTTGGTCTCATATTCCCGGATCCGTTAAATCGAGGTGAATTAAAGCGAGTGTTTATATGTAAATGACTACCAAAAAGTGGTCGATTACTGTGATGTCTATATGGTAACGATGTAAAGTTAGAAAGATTAATAAGAGAAAGCGTGAACAGAGACAGATCACAGGGAAACGTGTACATAGTGTTGGAATATTCAAACAAGTGGCTGCTCGAGTTAAATCTGAATTGAAGCAAAAACATGCATCACAAGGAAATATTTTCACTTTGCTGTGGAAGCTGCTGCTTCACTGTGCCCCCCGTACCCATCCTGTGGACGGTAGCCCAAAGACATACAGAAAAGACCTAGGAAACTAGGACCCCAAATGAGTTAACAGGAGTACATCTGAATTTTTTATCTAATCTGAATTTTTATCTAAAATTTATGTAAAATTTATCTGGTAACCTATTTTCATTAAGATATCTTGACATATCACGTAAGTCATTATACGATATCTAAATTCCTCAGAAAATGGACAATCAAGGACAGTGTTCAAGATAGTGACTATAAGCCTGACCACAATCTGCACGTAGTCAGATCATCTGTGCATCTGTCAAACTGTCAGAAGTACTTGCAACCAAACCTGATCCTGGCTACTAGAACATCAGTCTGTCTGTTTACACCGCAAGCTGCTCTATAAACATGCTTATCTACATTCATGTTACTACGAGTTACAGATCTACTTTGGCTTCTAATTGTATTCCTACAACATTCACTTTCCTTATTTACTTCTCTCTTAATATTCCTAATGCTAGACACAGATACACTCAAGTTGTATCTTATATTTTTCTTCAGGGATATTTTCTTTGACTAATTTAGAGAAGGAAGAAGAAAAACGAAGTGGAGCCTCAGGGGAGAATCCGGGGAAGGGAGGAGAGAAGGGACGGGGAAGAGTGAGAGGAAGGGAGGAGAAGCATTGAGGAAAGAGGAAAGAGAGTGAGAGGAAAGAGGCAGGAGGAATAGGGGGAAGAGATAAGAGGGTAAGAAAAGGTAAGAAATGGAAAGGCGATGGGAGCGGAAAATCCCGGGAGGGAGAAATTAATAACGAGGGAGTAAAGGAGGTAAGTAACAATATAAACAATGGCGTGTGGGGGCGACGAGCCCGCAGGAGAATTCAGGAGAAAAGGGAATAAAGTGTGGGAAAAGAAAAATGCAGGGAAAAATGGGGTGTGGGCCACTGATGGACCACAAAGGATGTAGTGGCCACAAATGGCCATATAAGGGTGTAGTTGACACAGATGGCCACAAGTCTTAGTGGCCATGACAAGGGGTTCAGGGGCCACAGATGGCCACATAAGGGTTTACTGGCTACACAAGGGTTTACTGACTACACAAGGTTTACTGGCTACACAAGGGTTTACTGGCTACACGAAGATTTACTGGCTACACAAAGGAGTGCAGCAACATGTGTTCCCTTGTGGGATGCATGACTGCACTGACCATGGGAATGACATCATACAAAGCAAGCACCAGGGGCAAGAGATACCATATAAGATGGTGAGGAGGGGGTGAGGGAGAGGTGGGGAAGGAGATGGGAAAAAGATAGGAGGGGGATGGAGAGGGGGTGACGGTCAAAAGGAAAAAGGGATGGGCAATGAAAAATAAAGATAGAGGAAGCAGAGACGAAAGAATGGAGTGAGGAACAGGAGTCGGTGAATAAGGACCGAGGAAGTTGAAAGAGCGAGTAAAGGGCAATAGAAAGGAGGGGGGATGAGAAAAGGGGAAAGGGAGGAGGAGGCACAAGATGAACCTGCCGGAAATACATACGACAAGTACACAATGGGAGACAATTGAGGTGGCGCGTTGTGGGGGAAAATTCTTTAGAAATGAAAAGAGGGACTGAAAAAGCCTAGTAAATAAAGTCTGGATGAAAGGTGGAGGATGGCACTGGAAGTTGGCATGGGTGGGTGCCACTGGTGGGTGCCACTGGTGGGAGGAATGGGTGGACAAGCAAGGACGGGCGTCTCAGAAGGGGACACAGGTGGGCGACGAGAGTGACACAAGTGGGTAACGAGGATGGGTGATACAGGTGGCTGATCAGGAAGAGTGATGCAGGTGGCTGACCAGGGTAACACAGGTGGGTGACGAGAATGGGTGACACAGGTGGGTGACAAACTTGGGTACTCTGAAAGTTCAGCAGAGTAGCGGTGGGAACTTTAGATCAACTACAAGCTAAAATCGGTCCCACCAGCCCTGAATTAAAGACCAGTTACCAAACAAGACCTCAAGTAAACAATAAACAAGCCTGGTCTGGTACCAGGTCGCAGGGTAGTAACCACAGGAAGCTACTGCAGGTAACCTATATGACATATACCTTTCACTTCTTTAAAACTCCACCAATTTGGTTACAAAGGCAAGTTTCAAAAGGTCACCGAAGTCCACCAAGATTCTCCCTGGCTAGAAAGTTCCCTGTGAATAAGACTGAAGCCACAGGAAGACTTGAAATTTCATGTTTTATAACAAAAATATCTGAATTTTATTGGAAAAACTGACATTTCGTATAATATACGAAACTTAAACCTTAAAAATATCGAGTTTTTAAGTCAAATTTTCCCCCGTAAACTATGCTTAAGAAAGAAAGTTTGATTTAAAATTGTGATACTTTCTGTGTGCACGATCAGCAGCATGCTATAAGCGCACTGAGAGGGGCAGTAATCTCCTGCAAGCACGTGAGCATGGGTGAAGTATGCTACAAAACAATCTCAGTGGGAACTCCTGTGGAAAGAGGTTTGGCAAACACCCTAGTCTTGCTCTTATTATTACTATTATATTCGCGGAAAGTCCCCAATACACAGGGGTGTTCCAGTACTCCTTTATCGCGTTGGGTGACACGAACTGAGAGAGTAGCACTCTCCAAACAGGTCACAAGCATGTCATAGGTTGGCTAGCCCTGCTGATCACAGGGCAGTCACTGACCTTTTGCATGGGCGTGCCCCAGAAGTCGTGGAGAAAGAGGTTGGTGACGGGCGTGTGAGGTCGGAGGTCGCGGTTCTCCTTGATGGCAGAGATGTCGTCGAAGACAAAGCTGCAGCTGAGGGCATTCCAGTAGACAGCCAGAGCTACCACGAAGACCAGCGAGCCGTACACCCAGCCACACACCGACCCTCCTGCAGGGACACAAAATAAATCCAATAAATAATGACTTCATAAAGAGGGAGGGGCGAATGCAGCACGCAAAGGCATTAGGTTTAAGGGGAAGGGGAGACGGGGAAATAAGGGGCACAGGAAAATATTCGATATGGACGATTAGATAAAAAGGACCCACTAGAGTTGAGGATCAGTCTAAAACGGTATTTATATTGTTCTCGTTAAACAAAATGGTTTCCGTCACAGTTGTGCTGTTGTGTGTTTGTTGCATAGTGAAAACAAAAGCTATTTTATTAACACACGAAATGGATTTCCACATCAAGTAATGAAATCTCCCAGCTTTAGCTGGGAGATTTCATTTAGGCGATGCGTGGATACAAAGACACGTAATTTCAGACTACGTTTCGCTCAGAGCTGAGCTTTATGAAACTTCATAAAGCTCCATCCTGAGTGAAACATTTAAAATAAATGCTTACTCTGTATACCCTCTTCATACACGCTTGTCGACTTATTACCCCAGTCATCAAGAGGAAGTTATCGACCATTCCCTCGAAAATTCAGTGGCTATTGCGGCTTTCAAGACTGCCTTACTACCACAGGAAAATATTTAATTTAGAGGGAAAAACAGTCCCGTATAACATACAACACTCGGCTCGCCAATAATATTTATATAAGGGATGAACGGTGATACACACCAATGGTGGGTGATGTAGAGTGGTGGATTATTTGGGTGGTGGGTTGTGACAGGGACAAGATGAGGGTAGTGAACTAGGTAAGGTGGTGAACTAGGCAGGGTGGTGAACTAGACAGGGTGAACTAGGCAGGGTGAACTAGGCAGGGTGGTGAACTAGGTAGGGTGAACTAGGCAGGGTGAACTAGGCAGGGTGGTGAACTAGGCAGGGTGGTGAACTAGGCAGGGTTTGAATAGGCATGGTGAACTAGGCAGGGTGGTGAACTAGGCAGGGTGTGAACTAGGCAGGGTAGTGAACTAGGTAGGTGGTGAACTAGGCAGGGTGGTGAACTAGACAGGGTGAACTAGGCAGGGTGGTGAACTAGGCAGGGTGGTGAACTAGGCAGGGTGGTGAACTAGGCAGGGTGGTGAACTAGGCAGGGTGAACTAGGCAGGGTGAACTAGGCGTGGTGAACTAGGCAGGGTGGTGAACTAGGCAGAGTGGTGAACTAGGCAGGGTGGTGAACTAGGCAGGGTGGTGGATAACTGGCAGGGTGGTGAACTAGGCAGGGTGGTGAACTAGGCAGGGTGAACTAGGCAGGGTGGTGAACTAGGCAGGGTGGTGAACTAGGCAGGGTGGTGAACTAGGCAGGGTGGTGAACTAGGCAGGGTGGCGAACTAGGCAGGGTGGTGAACTAGGCAGGGTGGTGAACTAGGCAGGTGGTGAACTAGGCAGGGTGGTGAACTAGGCAGGGTGGTGAACTAGGCAGGGTGGTGAACTAGGCAGGGTGGTGAACTAGGCAGGGTGGTGAACTAGGCAGGGTGGTGAACTAGGCAGAGTGGTGAACTAGGCAGGGTGGTGAACTAGGCAGGGTGGTGAACTAGGCAGGGTGAACTAGGCAGGGTGGTGAACTAGGCAGGGTGAACTAGGCAGGGTGGTGAACTAGGCAGGGTGGTGAACTAGGCAGGGTGGTGAACTAGGCAGGGTGGTGAACTAGGCAGGGTGGTGAACTAGGCAGGGTGAACTAGGCAGGGTGGTGAACTAGGCAGGGTGGTGAACTAGGCAGGGTGGTGAACTAGGCAGGGTGGTGAACTAGGCAGGGTGGCGAACTAGGCAGGGTGGCGAACTAGGCAGGGTAGTGAACTAGGTAGGGTGGTGAACTAGGTAGGGTGGTGAACTAGGTAGGGTGGTGAACTAGGCAGGGTGGTGAACTAGGCAGGGTTGAACTAGGCAGGGTGGTGAACTAGGCAGGGTGGTGAACTAGGCAAGGTGGTGAACTAGGCAGGGTGATGAACTAGGCAGGGTGGTGAACTAGGCAGGGTGGTGAACTAGGCAGGGTGGTGAACTGGGCAGGGTGGTGAACTAGGCAAGGTGGTGAACTAGGCAGGGTGGTGAACTGGGCAGGGTGGTGAACTAGGCAGGGTGGTGAACTAGGCAGGGTGGTGAACTAGGCAGGGTGGTGAACTAGGCAGGGTGGTGAACTGGGCAGGGTGGTGAACTAGGCAGGGTGGTGAACTAGGCAGGGTGGTGAACTAGGCAAGGTGGTGAACTAGGCAGGGTGGTGAACTAGGCAGGGTGGTGAACTAGGCAGGGTGGTGAACTAGGCAGGGTGGTGAACTAGGCAGGGTGGCGAACTTGGTAGGGTGACGGGTAGTGATGAAGAGGGCGGCCCGCCTGGTTCCTGAGCATGTCCGACCCACTTTACTGACCCAGTTCTCGGTCACTCGATAATTCTGGTGTGTGTCGTGTCGACCCCACCAGCAAGGTCCAGGTTAATACAAACTATACGGAAGTAAAATAAGTGAAACCATTTGCGAAATTCAACTTTCATTTATTCTTGTATTTATTTTTGTCGAATTGGATCGCGTCTGTGATTAAATTACATAGAAAGGGTCATAAAGAGGATGTATGAAACTAGCTCAAGCCAAAGGGGTTTCCCGAAGGTTATCCGAAGATAGTTTCTGGGGTTCCCGCGCCCTAGCTCTCGTAGTGAGAAACTTTGGAAATATAAACACAAATGCAGTATAATGTGATCCTTTATTGACTACGTTTCGCCCACACAGTGGGCTTTTTCAAGTCACAAACAGAACTACCTGGGGTGGAAGGAACGCGAGTATTTATAGTACGGTTCAGAATGCTGAGGTCAGGTGAAGAATGCTGCATCTGATGATGTACCGAGTGGGGTTATAGAGTCTAAAAACTTGGGTAGCTTGGAAAGGAGATTGGAAACGTAGTCAATAAAGGATCACATTATACTGCATTTGTGTTTATATTACCATTGTGTCGGTATTTTATACCATTTATTTCCAGTGAGAAACTTTAATGAGCAGAGTTGACACCAGTCAACCAAAAGACCACCTTGCTGTCAAGAGGAAACTCGTCAAGTTCCTCAAGTCAGTTCCTAATCAGCAGGGCTGTGGTTCATACGTTCGATTGTTTATAGTAGTAGTAAGAGCCTGACTGATCAAGCCTGGGTCTAACCGGAGGTCTGGTCTAGGAGTGAACCGTAAAAGCGTTGATCCCCTGAAAGCTAAATTCGTGCCCTAACTCGTGTCTTGACATCCAATAAGCTTCATTACTTCATCTTCCACTGTGTACAGTTTTGCATGGTTGAGGGACTCATTGGTTTTGAGTAGAACCTGCCTTGTATGGGCCAGTAGGCCTGCTGTAGTGTTCCTCCATTCTTATGATTACCTCATCATCTACTCTCTTTGCATAGCATCTCTGTAGTGAACTGACATCCTGTGTGTTTTATCTATGCCTCTTACTAGGCTCTACTTGAGACGTTGTTGTTATCGAAGTTGAAAATGACGGACAGAAGAGACTTGAGTAGCTCCTTCAACCCCTTGCAAGCACAACACACGCGCGCGCGCAAAAAAAAAAAAAATCCTAGCAAAATTGAACTCGAGTTTAAGGAGCAATACAGTGCGTCATTACCAGCGTCACAAGTTAAGCGAGCAGTCAGCGAGAGGTCGCCAAACAACTGTAAATTTCTGGTTGTAGTCTCACGAGAGCCTTCAAGAGAGCAGCCAGCCATCTTGCACGGACCCTGAGTGCACCTCTTATTGCCCCCGGCTCTTGATTCCCGGCCTCATGGCCTCTTGTCCTGACCCCACGGCATCATGTCCTCTCATTCTGAATCCCGGCCTCACATCTTGTGTTTTGGCCACCGCCTCACATGTCTTCTTTTTTTTTTTAATCCCGGCCTCATGACCTCTCCTGTCCTGCCCCGCCCCGCCTCACAAGCTATCCTGTGTTGTCCTCACTTCGATTCTCCTATCCTGTTCTGCAGAGAAAGGGCTATCCATAGCCCCTGCATGGGAAATGGGGTTGGTACAACCCCCTGCACGGAAAAAAAGAGGGATGTACAATCCCCTGCATGGGGAAACGGGACTTTTACAAACACAGAGTCAGGGAACCCATACTCGCAAGAGGGGTAGGGGCATCTACAGTATATATTCCCCCTTACAAGGCTAAGGGAAGTGAAGCGGTCGCATTACCGTGTGCGTCTCTCTGGGTAATGGATTATCATTGCCCGCTTTCCAATTTCATGGCTGTGGGAGCTGAGGAGTGAGAGGACAGACCTCCTTGTCTGCCCCGAGACTCTTCTTTAAAACTCCCAAGTTTCTCTTTGTTTTCTTCTTTAAACCTCTTAAGTTTCCTTTTTCTTCTCCTCCCTTCAAGGTGCCTTCATGCCAGTGAAGGATTTTTTATCCAAAGAAGTGAAGATATCCTTCCCTTAGACCAAACTTGATTGCCTCCCATTCCCCCTATGTTCCCTCCGGTACGAGTTATAATAATAATAATAACTGCCTTTGCGTTTTCTTACTATGTATATATCTTTACAAACATTAAAGAAAATAGAAGTGAGATTAATGTTCAAACAGATTATCGTCTTAAAAGGTTAGACAGACTGGTGATACATCAGCGTGCAGTCGACATTAATGAAGACAGACAGGTACATAACAAGCTTTTAAAGTAGTAACTTTTCGCTCAATGCAGAGTGAAACGTTACCACAATATAACCTTGCTCTGCACCTGCATCTTAGATGACCTGTATATTCTTGGACTGGGGATGGGCCTTTGATACCCAAAAGCATTAGCGTAATACCAACTGTCTCTCGAACATCCCCTCTTCAGATGGATGTAAATGTAAGCCTTCGACACAGCGGACTAATAGGGGCTTGGAAGCATATGGACAGTAAGGCGATTTCGGTAGATGGAGATGATATTAGTAGCGATTGTAATAATAAAGGACAATTTTGCATCAGGATCAAGTGACCCAGTGGATATCGTCCCGTATTTCCGAAGTCCATGAAACAGAGGTCTGTTAAATTGAGGATTTACCG